TCCCTACCTTTGAGCAATAACAACAAAAGAAAGTAATTGCTTGTTCTGAGTGTTAATCTTCAATTTCTACAAAAAAATTTACAAGTGAGGACAACTGTTACGCTTCTATGTCCTTGGAATTCCTGGACATAGAGAGAAAGGTAGCAGAATCCTCTCTGAAATATTTCAGCTTCTAACATGAGAGTAAAAAAATGAGCAAGATACTACAGTGCAATTGAAGCAGTGATTCTCAAGCTGCTTCCACAAAGACAATAAAATACAGCTATTTAATATAAGAAACATTAATAAAAATGGCCAGCAGCCCAGGAAAGAATGGGAGGGGAGTCTGATCCAGAATTGCTCAGAAACATGTGCAAAATATGTACTTACTACCACTTTTTCTTTTGGGTTTTCTTCTCTATAATCCAAACAGTCTTGCTGTAGTGCCTTTAAATCAGTAAGTAATTCAACTGTTTGCCTCAAGGAAGATTTCCTTTCCTGTACCTCAGCATATTCTCTTTGTAGTTTTATCAGTTGTGATTCATGTCTGAAAAAAATAATCAAGGCTTTGATGCTTGTACCTGCATGCTTATTGCCTGAATAACTGAACATCCTTCCTCTGAAGAAGGCTTAAGGTTGGTGAGACATACAAACCCAGAGTTAGTATGGCATACTGTTTAATTAGAACAACTATATTACTTAAAGAGGAGCATGACTGCAAATCCTCCAAAAAAACCCAAACCTCTCGAGTCTGACCACACAGCCCCTCTCTCTTAAGCATTTAAGCACACAAGTGTAGTTTCTTAACATCTTCTGCACATGCCTGCGGGCTGAGGTGGTCAGTGCTTCTGCTGAAGCACACTCAGGATCTAGAAACCACCTCTGCCTCTGCCTAACTAAACTGGAGGGCTGCATCCATTACAACAGCACTCTAAAAACTGAGCACCAACAGCCATTTTCATTTAACAGTGTTGCAGAAAAAACCAGCTTTCTTAAATGATCAAAGGATTAAAAAACAACACATTAAAATACAGACACAGCTTTCAGTCTGTGAGGGGGTTCAAACCATATTGAGGGATTAGTTCTTTGAGTGAAGTTTGTCTGCAGTACTTCAAAGACAAACAAGCCTCTTGTGGCCATAGAGAAAGGGCTTTTAAACCACTTTTGTGCAGCTTCAGTATAAAGCTTGTCACTAGTAATCCACAGGAGTTCAGGAAGTCTCATGGTTGTTCCAAAGAACATAATTTCTGTGTTGTGTATCAAAATGGCACGATTAATGCCACGTTAGAGAAGGGGAATTGTGTGGCCTCAAAAGATGGAAGCAAACCACGTACGCAGAGGAATCGCTGCCAAATTGCAGAGCTGAAATACAATCTCCCAACTCAAACCCAAAAATCCTCTGTATTCCCTTTGTAAATTCATGATTCAGCACCTTTGCAATTCAAATTGTAACAGTAGTGTTTTTCTTATGATCACATGGTATGAAACACTATCCCAGTAACTAGTTAGCTAAGAGAACTTGCAAGAATTTCTATCTAGGCAACTTAAAGGAGAAGTTACCATGTGCTTTTGTAAAAAGCAAAAACAATACAGCAGTAGTTTCATCTAAACAGAATGAAAGACTAAAAAAAGTTACTTTCCCCTCTGAGTTACAAATTATCAGACTCCTTAAATTCTTCAGGCTGTTATTGTACATCATTAGAAACATACCCAATCAGCTCCTCTCTGAGTTGCACCAGTCGCTGCCTTTTCTTGTTGATGTTTGCCATTGCCTGAAACAAATAGTGAGCAAAGTCTGAAAGACTTCCTGTAATTTCAAAGGCAAACAACTCAAATTTAATTTTTTTTTTCTCTGAAGTTTTATGCTTCTAATTCTCGGTGTGAAAGATTCCAAGATCCCACACCTTATAAACTGATGTATTTGACATTTGTTTTAAACACTTTAAAGCTGCTCCATTTCCAAAATTTCTCTTAGGGAACACTAGATTTACAAGCATACAAAAGGAGTTTGTGACATCTTGAACTCAAACACGACTAACTCTAGGAGGTTTTTGGTTTAAAAATGCAACCTAATGCAAATGTATGTTCAGTACAACTGCCATAACTAAGCAACTAAGCTTTCTTGAATACAACATCCAATTAAAATAAACCAAACTCACCCAAATCTGATAAAAAAATTGAAGTCAGCAACTAAAAATCTGATTTTAAACTAATGTATAAGAGGCAAACTAGGGATAAATCTGGCTGGCTGTAAATGCTAGATGTGTATTAAAGTTTTCATTTTACATGCAGAGTTGCTTACCATATCACCTCAAATCAACAGAACTTCAGCATATTAACTGCTGCTTCCCACAATAAGCTTTGTTGACCTTATTTGTTAAAAGCTTTTTTTGTCATTGTAAAGTTTGCAGAAAATGTTAATTCTGAGCAGAAAACCAGATAGTGCCTAAGCTGCTCTTAAATCTTTCTGCAGTAGGGCATTCATCTGATGAAACCACTACAGTGTTTTCTTGCCCTTACACTAGGTTCCTCCTCTTGTCAACATTCCCCTGTTGCATTTTCAGTCAGTTACTACTCACTCTGAACAGAGGAACTGCATTCCCCTGAACAAAAACTGTGCATATTTTTAGGAAATGCATTCCCTTAGACTTCTTTATACTAAGCAATCCAATTCTGTCCTCACAGGTCACCATCTTTGCTGCTCTCTTAGATTTTAAATTCATTTATGTTTCTTGAAGGTTAGCTCTCAATATCTAATTTGCTCTCCAGAAGCCTCATCAGTATTCATTAAAAAAAACCCAACAAAACCAGAAAGCAAACAACAAAACCCAAAAGAGTAATTCACACACACAGATACCTACACATCCAAATGTGCATTCCTTCTTTTTACACCATATAGCAGGATACCTATGGAGTTTGTGATCCATCATATTTACTCAGATCTTTTCCAAAAAAACTCTTGTGGTTCCCTACCCTCTATTTGTGCAGTTGATTCTGCAGTACAGTACAGCTTTTTGTCAATTCATTTATTTCTTCCAGTCAACTTCACAGAATCACAGAATGGGCAAGGCTGGAAGGGACCACAGTGGGTCACCTGGTCCAACCTCCCTGCTCAAGCAGGGCCATCCTAGATGACACGGGATTACATTCAGGGCCCATCCTAGATGACACGGGATTACATTCCCGTGTCATATATTCTTGAATATCTCCAGTGAGAGAGACTATACAACCTCTCTGGGCAATCTGTTTCAGTGTGTGGTCACCTGCACAGTAAAGAAATTCTTCCTTATGTTCAGGTGGAACTTCCTATGCATCATTTTCTGCCTGCTGCCTCTTAAACTATTGCCTGGCACCATGGAACACAGCCTGGCTCCATCCCCTTGACATCCTCCTTTCAGATATTATAGACGTTGATGAGGTCCCCTCTCAGCTGTCTGAAAACCTCTTTAAATCCCAATGCCCACCTCTCTGTGCTGTACAATCTAGTGATATATATGTATTTACCTTAGCATTTTTTCTCTTCATGTTCTTTATTTCCTGGACTCCTGCTATCTACAGAGGAAAAGAAGAATTACAGTTTGACTATGGATCTCGAGTTCATCACTACCCCCTAAAAACATGGCTGCAAGAATTACTTTGGAATAACATAAAAAGCTATTTAAAAAAAGCCAACACTGGTTCAAAGGGAGATTACAAGTGTATTAGTTGTGTATCAATCCTTTCGTTTCTCCTCATGCCAGAACAAGACTTGCACAAAATTAGTTAGTACAAGTAATATTCTTTGTATCAATTAGTGTAACACTACAAAGCTTAACTTTTCTATAACTGTGTATAAATGTAGTAATTTTAAAACTTGTCCTTTACAATGAATCACTTAGAACTACAGTTTTAGTACTTACCAACTGTACTTACCAAAACTCTACAAAGTTCTGACTTCATTTACTCGTAATTAGTGAGAAGAAATCTTAGGCTTCCAAGCCAATAAACTTGTGACAGAATCACAGAATGGGTCAGGTTGGAAGGGACCACAGTGGGCCATCTGGTTCAGCCTCCCTGCTCAAGCAGGGCCATCCCAGATGCATCTTGAATATCTTACAGTTATGTTCAAGCCATTAATTAAAACAGGATGATCTTCCCTGGACTATATTAGAGGCCTTACTCAGGCCTCTAAACAAGAGCAACTGGGATGCAGTGTAAAGATTTAAACTCTAGTCTATGAGCTTATAAAACAGTGTTTGACATAACTCTGTGCTCATTCAAATTATGCAGCTCTCCAGTTTTACTGTATAATGATTTAGAAATGACAAACACTTCAGGATTATTTGATGCTTCCCTATTCTCAAAAGCTGACAACTTTGCAACCTACTTGCATGACAGTAGTGTTGTGTCTAGAGGCAATTCTCATGAAAGCCAGCATAGAGGCAGCAAATCATAACCTGCACACAGTATTATTTATCCTGAGAAGAGATTGGAAAATTCACATACTGCAGAATAAATGTGTAAAGGGCAATACAAAACCAGAGGCATTTTGTCCACAAAATTGATTTTATTTATGATGTACTTACAAGAGAAGTGATTTGGTCCTTGAAAGCAGAATGGAAGTCACTGATAGCTTTTCTGCAAATGTTTGATTCTATGCATTGTCTGGAGAAGTCAGAGGGATAAAACACATTTGGTTTAGTAAAGGAGAAAACTCATTCACAAAACCATTCCTTCAAGTAACAGATAAAACCCAATGGTAAGCAGCTAGGCAACTGCAGATCTTTCATATACTAGCAATAGCTTAATTTCTGCCTTGAAAAATGTCAACTGAGAAGTGCTGTTGTTTGGAAAAATATCAAATTCCTGGAGAACATGTCAAGATCACATATGAAAAAACATTTGTATCACAGAACCTTACTAATCATTAAAATAAGATCAGAATGTAACCATGCAATACTGCATGCCCTAAAGGACAGCCCATTAGTAAAAACACAGGTAATTTTTTGTAAAACTTTGAACAATTCACCTACGGGAGAGCAGAATATTTACCTGTAATTTGCTGACGCCTTCTCAACTTCAGCCAGAACAACATCCAGTTCGGTAATATCTCTAGAAGATCTCTTCAGCTCTTTGGGACACCAAACCTGCATAGAACATGGGCTACCCACTAAAACAACAGAATAAAGATAAGCATTGCACATCAGGTACATGTTCTAAAACAACAGAAAAGTTACTGTGCCCACCATCAAAATAACCATCTAAAAGTTATGAATATTTTCCTAAGAAATTTGAGTAAGAGAGAGATGTGAATTATTACATCTGCCTTTGGCTGAGCAACTATGATGGATTTATCCAGGAACACTTTACAACTGGGATGATCAATCATATACAACTTACATCTTTGTCACGTCAAGCATGCCCAGGAACACATTAGCAAACTAACTGGTAAGCTACACAGTGTACTGTAGACACAGCTGTTTGTATTGTAAAGACTATTAGCCTGAGTTTGGGCAACCTGCATTCTCAGAGAATCATGAGCTTTTATCATTGATTACACTTTGTCTTAATACCATATATGCTTTAAAGAAACCCTACATACAAATACATGTCTTTAAATTTTGCCAAGTAATTCCACAAAAAGTTAAACCATGTTTCTTCACACATTCCCAAATGTAAATCTAGTACTAGAATGTGATGGGGCTTCAAAGGAAGCAATATTACAGCTGAGAAATAGTATCTCTCTACTGAAAAATGCCACTGTCTTGAAGCTCCCTATCTCAGAGGTCTTTATATTAACAGCTGTGCCTATGCTGCAAGTCAGGGGCACTCCCAAGTTCTGCCCCACAGCTGCTGCTCCAGGCTGCCAGACCCAGAAAGATACTGACACCCCTTACAGCTCCATATCCATGGCCCCAGGCTTCCCTCCAAAGGGAACCAGGCTGTCTTAGAGTGATAATGCACACCTAAGCTTTACCCCTTTAGGGGAGAAACAGACAAGACCTGGGATGCAAATTGTGGTGATCTAAAGGGGGGAGAAACAGACAAGACCTGGGATGCAAACTGTGGGGATCTAAAGGGGTTCTATACCAAAACTCCTATAAAACCCTCCCATTTCTAGAGGCAGTATGTTGCTGCATACCAGAAATGAAAACCATGGAAAATCATTCATCTTGAATGAGGAAAATCTATATGGGAGTTTTGAAAAGTCTACTTTACCAGAAGGATCTGATGTGCTCTCCTCCAAAGGCTGCTTCTTTTTCACCTGGGATTGAGCAGTATTCAGAGGCTTCTGTGACATAAAAAGCAGATTAACTTCCAAAATAAACCCTAGATTTACTCATTTAAAATTCTGAGAGAAAGCAATTAGGCAGAATGCAGGAAAGCTTTTCCTGATTGAAACATCAGTAACATTTACTTAGGCCTGTTTCACCAGGCAGCTGCCTGACACACTGACCAACTGGCACATCAGCCACTGGCTGTGCAGCAGGACTAGAAACACTTCAAGGAGCATAAGGAGCCCGGTTTGGCACAGTCATTGCCCAGCAATGACATTTCTCTGGTCAACAGTGCCTGCTCACCTTCCTTTTCACCCACATTCTGTCCCAATTCCTTCCCTACTTTGGCAACTTCATGACACCAATAGCACTTCTACAAGAGTGCTGCATGCATCCAGTTCATGGGTGAAAGGTTAACACTCTGTACTGAATTTTGCAACAGGATTTAACAAATACGTTCTACTTCGATACTGAACAGGTACAAAGGATTCATATTCCATCTAGTATGCCATCCTTTAAGAACGTATATTCTAGACATGAAGAAGATACTTGAAAGAAGAACATATTCCCAAATGAGCAAGAGAATGGGCTAGAGGATGCAGGAACACCTGGCCATTACATTCCTCGCTGACATGATGGCTGTAGCTTTAAGCATTTCACTTGGCCATCTCACGGGAATGCTCTGAGGGCTATCTATTCTGGAGACAATTAAGTACTAAGAAACAAATGGCAGGTGTTCCTCTCACCCAACCCTCTAATGCAGGCATGGCATGAAGTAAGCTGAAGTTAACTTGACCAATAATACTCATGCAAATTTTTTCCGTACCACAGTGTCCTTAAGGTGTTCATCTTCAGTATCATCTGTGCTCAATTTCTGAACATCATCATCAGATGTCTTTGAGCGACGCAATTTTTTACTAGGAAAAGAAGAACATATACTAACTACTGCACAATAAGGAAGAATCATCTTCAACCATATACACAACAAAATCTTGTGTTTTGGAGGACATTTTGTACAGCTATGTCATTTTCTGTGTTTCCAAAACAGACTAAGGAAGAAGTGGGCAGTGGCATGTAAAGAGAACAGAACCTTCATCCCTTAACAGCAACCCTCACGACTGACCACTGGGATAGGCATGGCATATTGAGCAGGAACTTTGAAAGAGA